AATCAATAAAAAACAAAAAAGTCGATATATATAAACATTTATGGATGAAATATGGCAGGTTAAAGGTTTGCCTGGTCTATGTGGCTCAGTGGTTGAGCGTCCACCTATAAACCAGGTCAGGGTTTGATATTTTTTTAATTGATTTCAGAGAGGTAGAGATAGAAACATCCATGCTGACAGAGAATCATTGATAGGCTGCCTCCTGCATGCTCCCTGGGATTGAACCCACAGACAACCTGGGCACATGCTCTTGACCACCGTCGAATCTGGGACCCTTCTGTCCACAGCTGCTACTCTATCTACTGAGCCAAACCAGCTGGGGCAATAAATATATTTTTTAAAAATTAAACGTTGGCCATGAGTTGATAATTGCTGAGGCTGTGATAGATACCTGGAGGTTCATTATATTCTTTTACACATACTTGAAATTTTCCATGAAAAATTCCCCCCCTGCCGAAACCGGTTTAGCTCAATGGATAGAGCGTAGACTTGGGGACTGAAAGGTCCCGGTTCGATTCTGGTCAAGAGCATGTACCTTGGTTGCGGGCATATCCCCAGTAGGGGGTGGTGTGCAAGAGGAGCTGATCGATGACTCTCTCTCATCGATGTTTCTAACTCTCTATCTCTCTCCCTTCTTCTCTGTACAAAATCAATAAAATATATTTTTAAAAAAAGAAAAAAAGAAAAATTCCCCCCCTAAGTCAGCATGATTTAGGCATTCACTAGAAATGTGTGATCGTGAAAACACAAGGTGGTAACTTTCAGGTTTCTTGCTTGAGGGATGGAATGGTGCTGAGGAGTGAGGATATTTTTCCCATTTATTTTTGGGAGTGGGAGGGGGGAAGAGAGAAACATTGATGTGAGAGAGACACATCGATTGGTTGCCTCCTGCTTGCATCTCGACCAGGGTTGGAGAATTGAACCTGCAACTGAGGTATGTGCCCTGGACCAAAATCAAACACAGGACCCTTCACTCTGTGTGCTGTTGCTCTAACCACTGGGCAAACTGACTAGGGCAATAGTGGTGCTTTTTACTAGATCTAGGAAAGCAGGGAGGTGAGTTTGTGAACAAGATGGGTCCCGTTTTGGTCGTGTTATGGGACTGCACAGGCTGGTAGAAATACTGAACTCAAGACGTGGGCAGATGAAAATGTGTCACTGAGTGACCTCACAGGGAGGAACTGTAAAAAAGGGATCTCAAAGGGATTTGAGGAAGGATCACAGAGCCTAGAACTAGACAGATATGTCTTAGAAAGTTGAAGGCCCAGAAAGCAGTTTAGAACTTTTTTTTTTTTTTTAATATTTTACTTTTATTGGTTTCAGAGAGCAAGAGAAACATGAGGAGAATCTGATAGGCTGCCTCCTGCACACCCCCTACTGGGAGCAAGCCCACAACATCAGAACCCTCATATATCGCTGGTGGAAATGTAAAATGTGGGAAAATGGCCTGGAAGTTTCTCAAAATTTAAACACAGAGGTACTCTATGACCCAGCAATTCCACTCTGAGGCCTATGACCACAAGAATTGAGAATAAGTCCACATGAAAATTCTATGTAATACTCATATTATTTATAAATGCCCAAAAAAGTGGAAATGATGCAAATGTTCACCACCTAACTCAGTGGTCGGTAAACTGCGGCTCGTGAGCCACATGCAGCTCTTTGGCCCCTTGCGTGTGGCTCTTCCACAGAATACCACGTGCAGGCACGCACATACAGTGCGATTGAAACTTCGTGGCCCATGCGCAGAAATCAGTTTTTGAAGAAGTGCTAGAACACTCAAGGGGCCAAAGAGCCGCGGTTTGCCGACCACTGCTCTATCCAGTGAGCCAAACCAGCTAGGCAAGTGACTTACTTTTTGTATGGGAATTCTTTTTGGAGTGGCGAAAATATCCTAGAATTAGCGGTGATGCTAAAAACCATTCAACTGTATGCTTTAAAATAGTGAATTTTATGATGTGAATTATACAGCTGTTTTAAGAAAGTGTGGGGCTTGTACTCAGCAGTGGTGATGCTGCTGGTGAGACAGCATGGGATCCAAGCATGGTAGGAAGCTTGTCCACCGTTAGGGTTAAGACAGCCCCTTCCCCTCTTGTCCAACATCTGTCCCTCCCTCCTTCAATTCCAGTAGTCTGACCCTGAACACACTATAGTTTTGTCCCTCTTGCCATGATTGGTTTAGTACACAGGCAACTCAGTTCTGCCCAGTGAAACTTGGGTGGCTGAGGAGCCTGTGGGAAATTTTGTAAAAAAAGATTTTTTTTTTAAGATAAAATTTTTAAAAAATACATTTTATTGATTTTTTACAGAGAGGAAGAGAGAGGGATAGAGAGAAACATCGATGAGAGAGAATCATCGACCAGCTGCCTCTTGCACACCCCCTACTGGGGATGGGCCCGCAATCAAGATACATGCCCTTGACCGGAATCGAACCAGGGACCTTTCAGTCTCAGTCCTTAGGCCGATGCTCTATCCGCTGAGCCAAACCGGTTTTGGCATGATTTTTAAAATTGCTTTTTAGGGAGGGAGAAAACATTGATGGGCCGTGGGGCATGTGCCCTGAAGGGGAACTAAACCAGCACCTTTCAATGCAGGAGGATGACCCCCCATGGAGCCACACCAGCCAGGGTTCACTCCTTTTATTAAAAAAATATATATTTTATTGACTTTTTTACAGAGAGGGAGATAGAAAGAAATATCGGTCAGCTGCCTCTTGCACACACCCCCACTGGGGATGTGCCCATAACCAAGGTACATGCCCTTGACTGGAATTGAACCCGGGACCCTTCAGTCCGCAGGCTGATGCCCTATTCACCGAGCCAAACTGGTTTCGGCTTCACTATTCTTGAAAGAGAAAAAAGGGAAAGAAATCTGCCTCTGGACATTTTTGACAAGCTGAGGCCTGAAGCAGAGCTTGGTGAGGTGGGTGGACTTACTGAGGGCCGCAGAGGACAAAGGTTGTGAAGAGCCTAGAACAGCCCTACCTTGTCTTGAGACAAATCCTCCTTTAGCCCGTCACGCCCCACCTCAAAGCATCCGAATGTAGTAACTGGTGATCGTCCGGAGATACAGGAGTGGGCTCGAGACTGGACCGAGGGGAGGGGAGTCCACGTTTACATTTTCCTTTTTATGACCAGACTCAGTTCAGGTCGGGGCTGGCACTGAGCATACTATGATGGCTGTCTTAAATATCCTTACCATATTCATGTCTGGCTTCTAGGTTTTTAAGCCTAGGTACTCTTGTGATCCACAGCCAGTCAATCAGTAAACATTTTCCAGGAAGTAAAAACAACAAAAAGTGAAGCTCCGCCCAGCCGGCCTGGCTCAGTGGAAGAATCATGTCACGGTTTGATTACCCATCAGGGCATATGCCGGAGTTGTGGGCTCAGTCCTGTGTGGAGCTTGCAGGAGGCAGCTGACCAATGATCTCTCTCATTGTTGATGTTTCTCTCTTTTCCCCTCTCCCTCTCTGAAATCAATGAAAATGTATATTTAAAAAAACCCACTAAGCTCACCCTACCCATCCTAATTTCTAGGTAACAGAAAGAGGGTTTCTCACGAGTTTAATCTCAGCCAATAAGTGTTTCTTAATTATACAATGAGGGTAATCTATATAGGATTGACCTAACCATGAGCGCATGGCAGAGCTTCTAACAGTCCACAGGCTCACATTTTACAGAATCTGAACTCCTACAAATACTAATAAAGTAACCTCATTTCCTCAAATCCTGCAACTTCTGTTCAAATACCAAGCTATTGAACCCCTACTCCTAACGGCTGTAATGGGTCCACTCTGGAAGATGCCACCCCCTGCCACCAAATAAAAATTATTGCTGAAACTGGTTTGGCTCAGTGGATAGAGCGACGGTCTGCGGACTGAAAGGTCCCAGGTTCGATTCCGGTCAAGGGCATGTACCTTGGTTGCAGGCACATCCCCGGTAGGGGGTGTACAGGAGGCAGCTGGTCGATGTTTCTCTCTCATAGATGTTTCTAGCTCTCTGTCCCTCTCCCTTCCTCTCTGTAAAAAAAATCAATAAAATATATTAAAAAAATTATTACAACCTGAAACTATTTCAAGAATGAAAGCAAATGGCTGGAAATTACTTAAGTGGACAAATTATACTTAATACAAAAGGAGCCTCCCAAGGAGAAGTCAGACATTTTTGACACAATTGGGGGGTTGAATCCAGACTACTCATGAGATGTGCACATAACCGCTGCTCTTCAGATGTGCACATAACCCGGAACAAGTTTCTCCATCCGAGCCCGTTTCCTCATCCATAAAAATGGTGGTTAACTTAAATTACACAATTGTCCCAAGACTGAAGATCAGGTACAGAACCTCCCAAGGAGGGGCTTCACTGGTATGAGTTTTGACTAAGCAGATAAACACACACCCAGCCATGGAAACTTTTTTTTTTTTTTTTTTTAATGTTCAACTTACTTAATTCCCTCAAAAAAAATTAGTGATTTGTGATGAATTTATTGCAAGTTCCATTTCCCTGGAGGAAAGGGGTTCTTTGCAGAATCTCCGAACTAAAGCAATCCAAGTCTCTGTTAATGGCTTCCTTGTGGGAGCTCCAGGTCACCAGTGACATCAATTCACAGAAGACTCGCAGGTCTGCTGGAAAGCAGACTGCCGTCTGCCTTCGTCTTATGGTCAAATGTATACAGACAGAGCAGCACTTTCTCCTGACACAGGACTATAGTTGGATCTATTAACGTTAATTTTACAGGGATTTTAAGCGTTAACTTTAGAGTTATTTTGCTGTTAACTACCAGGCTGAAATCTTACATCTACCAAAAAAGTACACTGCGCGACCAAGCACAAAAACCACTGTCTACTTCCTACTTCTGGGATCTTTTCTAACTCCACCTCACACTGTATTCTGTCAACAGGACAGCGCTGTTCACTCTTCCAGACGGACTGTATGTGGAGCCTTTACACCGCACACCAGAACGGTCCTGTCCTTAGACTTGGGAAAAGATTAGAGGCAGCATTCCAAGCCAAACTGTATCCAGCTTTATTAAAGATACTTTTAATAAACAATCATGGTATTTCAGGCAGGACATGGGCAGACAATCGTTAACAGTATACAACAATTTTCAAACTCCCTTCTTCAATGAACTACCAAAACCAGAAAGCCACTATAAAACCCAATGAAGTCTTCATCTGATGCTCTGAACAGCGGAAGTTTAGAGTGAGGGTTGACATTTCACATTAAGCATGTTGTTTGACAACTTTTCACAAGCCGACCCTGACTTTCAGGAAATGAAATGAAAATAGCCGAGAAGATCAATCTGTAGATCCACAATCTAAAAAGGAACTGCCGCTCTTTTGAGGAATGCCATCTCAGTGGTGACACTGGACAGTCCAGGCTGCACAACATACTGGAAATCAATTTTTTGGGGTCAGGTCCCATAGGTCTCTGGGCTTAAGACAGGCAAAGTCTATGCTTAAAGTGGAGAGGGAGAAAAGGACATAAAAACGAATTTTAGTTTTTCCACACGACAAAGTGTTTGTGCCAAGATGGCTAATGTGTGTCAACATCAAGAGATCCCTCCTCCCGGGAACCAAGAGGAAGTTTCTCAAAACTAGAAGGGAAGGGTATTCCCCCCCATGTCAGTCCAGCTTTGGAGACATTCTATTAGTACTATGTGTCCTTCCCCCCAAAAATAACAATGAAGTGTTCTGTGCGCTAACAACATAGCTTAAAAAAAAAAAAAAAAAAAAAAAAAGTAAAACAAAATTCTGCATTTTTATAAAACTTGATAAAAAATAGTATTTCAAACTGTACAGTCACCAGAAATACACAGTTATCAAAAATGCACACACTTCACTTGGCATCTCCAGCACCTTCAGCTTTCTGTGCCTAAAAGAAAAATAAAATAGACAGATTAGTACAGCACTTAAAGAGTTTGAGACTATCTTCACTCATATCCCATATATAACAGTATTTTGCTCTTGGGCCAGCCAAAGTTCAGGTTTCAGATACTTTAAAACTGAGACTTAGTACTTCTGAGAATGAGTTGGTAGGAAACTTTGCTAAAATCAGGGTAGGGGACAAATCAGCATTACACCTGAGGTTATTCTCAGATTCAAAACTCTATAGGGTAGCAAAAGTGTGACACCTAATAGGACAAAAATCAGTACCGCAGTGCCCTTTATTGAACAGCAAAGACTCCAGGAATCCAGGATTTAAGCGAATAGGAAATCACAAGCAAATTCTAACTGAAAGATATACTTGGAATGATGTAGATGCAGGAAAAAGGCAACTAAGACCTCTTGGGCTCAGTAAACAATCCAATGAGCAAGGCTTTGCAAAAAGTGAGGTAGCAGTTGTACCTGGTCTGTTTTGGCATCTCCATTTTCTGCAGGATTATTCCCATCTTTGCCAGCATCAGCTTTCCCCTTTTTCCCTTTTGGTACCTTCTCTCCCTTCTAAAAGAAGGGAGAAAGAAAAAAGCTGTTTCTCCTAACTTCGTATTACCACTGTGTGGCCTAGAAAGTTCTGTACAAGGCAGGATTATTTATTAAAGATAACATACAAACTATAAACCCTCTCTCACTGAGAACACTGATCAAAACTAGGCCAAATGATCTATAATTCGCTGTGGTCCTAAGCACACAGAATTTTTTATCTGAGTATAAGTAATAGGGTAGAATAAGATAGCTTAAAACTTAGATGTTAAATACCAAAAATGTGCAATTTCCTCTAACTAATGATAGTTCTTTTATACAAATCTCAGGGATAAGTCAAGCTATCAAAACAATTCAGAATACCCATAACGGAGTCACCATTATGCTGCATTTAGATACTGAAGGACAGTCCTCATTCTGTAAAAGTGAACAACTGGGGCATAATTATAAGGCCCAGTCCTGTTAACTTTGTCATATCTCAACTTTGTGCCAACAGATGAAGCTGTTATCTATATATAGCAACCCTCCGTAAACATGAAATCCCGCTCAGCCTTTTAAGACTCCTAGAAACACCTTGTCCCAGTCCCACTCACCTTTGCAGGGGCCTTTTTAGGCTTGGGCTCTGGCTTTGGAGGAGCAGGTTTCTTTTATTTGGAGGAGAGAGGGGAAGACAACGTCAGTATGATGAGCCAAAGAAAAGCAACCACCAAATCACAGTCGCACCGAATTAGAGATCGTCCATACTTCATAAAGATTTTGTGGCCAACTTCCCATGAAAATTTCCAATCTTCAGAAACCCATTCAAGTAACAATCAGGAGTGTTCCACTTGGACTATCAGCCATGATAATTTCCTAGCCAGTGAATCTCAAATGGGTGAGAGTCCACAGTGTAGCAGCAGCTCATTAAAACCAGCCACCGACCATCTCTCATGGAAAGCTAGTTTCAGGAATAAATGTGAAAATTTAAAAGCAGACATACTTACAGCTGATAACCTGGCAGATCTTCTCTGTGGCTATTTAAAAAAATAGAAAATGAGTAAGTTAGAAATAAAAAAGTCCAACCACTTAAAAATAAAAATCTTAATGCCAATCTGTTCTAGGCTATAGGATGTGAAGAGAATTGGGCAAATTCAGGAATAGGGGTATGATTAATTACCACCAGAGGAACCCAAAGCTTTTTAAGACTCCAAAAGAGAATAAACAAGACTTACTTCGTCCTTCACCTTGGCTTTATCTCCTTTAGCATCCCCTTCAGCCTATGAGAAACAAAACAGAAACTCAGAAACCTGCAGCCTCCGTGGCAATTTTTAATGACTCACTAAGCTTAACCCAGTCCAAAGGAAAGAAAAGTAGTCTTGCACACAACTTCCGTAGGATATACAAATCGTCTTTTAGCACCCGTGCCTCCTATGCAAATACCCAAAGAGCTTAGAAACTGTGGGCGTGCTCATCTGTGTACACATCATGCCAAATCCAGCCCAAAGCTCGCAGGGTGCCGGAACCTCAGCCTCCCAGTCTCCGCCAAGTGGCCCGAGGGAGACGCGCTAGGCTGGAGGAGGGCAGCGCAGGGCAGCGCAGCCTGCGCCACCGCACCAGGCAGAGGCAGCAGCAGAAGCAACAGCTGCAGCTGGTGCAAACAAACCCGCTCGGAGGCGGGGCCCGGGCGCCGTTGCCATGGCAGCCGTCGAGGGCGGGAGCCGTGAGGCTAGCGCGCAGCCCCGGGAATTCGTGGGCGGCAGCGTAGCGAGTCCCGCGCGCCCGGCGTGGGAGGGGGCGGGACCACACAGCGAAGCCCCGCCCCCTCCCGGCGGCGGTTTTTTTTGGCGGCAGCGCGTCACCCCGCCCGCCAAGCCCAAGCACCGCCTTCCCGCCTTTTCGGGTTTGAATTGCCCGCCCGCGGGGAGGGGGGTGCCGCTGGGGGAGGGGGCGCGGGGCGGGCACGTCTAGCCCGAGGGGAGCGGGGTAAACAGCCACCAACATGGCTCCTCCTGCCGCGGCCGCCGCTCCTCCAATATGGCCTCTGGCGCCCGCGGGCAGCCGAGACGCGCAGGGTTACCCGGGGCCGCTGACACCGGCTCGCGAGCCGGCGGTGGGGGCAGAGCTGCTCCGGCCCCGCGCCGATCCTCGCGCCCGAAGCCCGGGCGGCGGCGGCGGCGGTGGCCGCCGCGGCGGAGGCGGAGGCGGCGGCGGCCGCGGCAGCCCGGCGCCCGGGGCCCTCGCGCCACGTACCTTTCTCTTGGGCATGATGGCGACGGCGGCGGGACGTCCGGGCGGGACGCAGGGATGCAGCAGCGCGCGGGCCTCACTCGGTCCGGGGGTCGATCTCGTCTCCTCACACTGCTAGGGCTCCGGGGGGTTTATAAAGTTTTTATAGCGCTGGGAGCCCCGGACCGGTTAGAACCGGATTTCACCTCCCGCCGCCGCTCATTGGCCCAGCTGGGGTCACGTGGGCGGGGTTTAAACTCACCTCCTCTGGAGGGAGTGAGGAGGGGGGCCTGGGGGGAGGGCGCGGAGACGGCGGCGCGCTTTGGGGGTGGGGGCGCAGGGGAGGCGCGCGGAGAAGGCAGTAAATGAGGGGGGGGGACCCCGCGGGCTCTGGATTTCGGCATCTCAAGAGCCGGCTTTTGCAAACTACCAAGTTCCTTCCACCTTATGCAACCGAGCTGCCCACTTCTCCAAGCTGCGCGACACTCGGCCATCGCAGCCGCTCTCCTTCCTGTTCCCGCTGGGGCCCAGAAGAAGGGTTTTCAAGGCCTGGCCGCGCCGCCGGGGGCGGGAGAAAGCGCGCGGCTGGCGGCACGGGCTGCAGTTCCCAGGCCAGAGCTGACGCCGAAGTGGGAGAGCGGGGGCCCGCTTGGCGCAGCCGGACGTGCATCCTTCCAAGCTGCCACCCGGGCGAAGCTGCCGTGCCTCTCACCTGGAAGTCAGCCCGACAGGGGCCTGGAAGGTGGAGCGGGACTTCGTAGGGAGACTACACGGAGAGGTTACTTTCGAGTGCCGAGGGGCAGGTGGGAGCTGTCCTTTCAGCACCAGTTGCCCGGCTGTCTCCCCAAATATGCACGAAGCCCCCCGCCAAAGCCTCGGGCAGCTCCTAGAGGTTCCAGTTTCCCGACCTCAGGACCCCGTCACCGAGTGATGGAGATCCGCCGCCTGCCTACCAGCTCTCTCCTCCCCCTACGCTCCACCCGCTTCGGAGACAGCAAGCTCAGCTGCCCCCACCCGACGCGGCCACCAAGCCTGGGCGCTGCAAACGCAGCTGGTGAAATCCCTCCTTCCACACTGGCAAGCTGGCTTCCTTTCACTTGCGCGAGGAAAAGGAGGGTGGAGGAAAGCGTCCCGCGATTAGGAAACAAGTAGAGGAACAGGTGGTGTGATGGCAAAAGGGTTCTTCCATTGGCTCCCTTACCCCACACGCCCCCAAAAGCTAAGGATCTTGGAGGTAGCCAGGTGCACCTGAGGGAAGGTAGACAATTGCAGCAGCAAAACAAGGTTTATCTTCTGTCACAATCTTAGCAAACAAGTTTTACATCTAAGAGTTCTTCAATTCCTGTGACACCAGGGTAACACAAGAACACGATCAATATCCTCAAGTGGGGGCTTAGCTCACGGGTGGGAGGATATTTAAATAGGTCCCACCTAGTTTATTGAGGCGAGGGTTGAAGCTGGTTGGTACAAATGTCTGTAGGAAGCAACTACAATGCGGCCACATCAACTATCTGCATCCCCTGCTCCTGGGCGGCAGAGGCCCCTCAGTCTCTTCTTTCCACCTCTCCAGTGCTCCTGGGGCATCCCCTGCCCATCCCACTCTGCGTACCTTTCCCAGAATGCAGGGCCTCAGGCCAAAGAGATACCAGCCCCATTAATCACTTCTGCACCCCAATCATATTAGGGAAAACCCAGAAGAGACAGCGATGCTCACAGGGCGGTTCTGCTTGCTGCCTCCAGTCCCATTCCCTTAATTGTAGGGCTCTGAATTATAGCCCCATAATTCATGCCTCCCTAATTAAGGCTGTCAACTGCCCCATTGTAAAGAGGCAAGATGCACAGCACCTGCTCTCTGGGAAGCCTGTGCCAGGTGTGAGGGAGGCTTGCCAAAGGGTGCATCAATCTGATTCTCAATTGCAGTGTCTGCCATTTAAACTTGAATCTCTTGTACCAGGTCTTTAGGCAGAGGAAGGCGGGAAGACTAGAGTATAGGGAAGTCAGGTGTTAGAGAGTATACTGGCAGCACTGCTTGCAAGACCCCAACCCTCCCCTAGGAGGTGGAGAAACCGCTTGCAGAAAGTGAGATGGGAAGACTGGAGCAGCCGTTGGATGGTATTCTGGCTGGTGCTGGCTGCTCGGGGGCACCTGAGGCAGAGGTTGCTCTTCAAAGGCACGAATCCTCTCCGCACCTCTGCAGCGAGGCCTGGCGGGAGAGGTAAGCGAAAAGGACACAGCTCTTGACTCAACCTTCTTCTTCCTTGTGGGCAGCCATGCCCTCACAAGCTGACACTCTGACATGCTAAGAATAGATGGTCTCAGGGCCTTCTTAGGAAGCCAGGCCTCAAAAGACAGGAGGTGGGAGACAGTGTGAGGTGATGAGGGCAGGAGGCAGTCATTTGGGAAGAGGTTCTTTCTGTGTTCTTGGTTCTGATGTGTTCCAGGCAAGAGGCCTGTGCTGGACTAGATTCACCAAGGCCTACAAGGCCTTCTTTTACCCTGGAGCCTGGCCCCGAGCCCTGCAGCAGGAGGAGGAAAGCTTGTGTGGGCTGAGTCGACAATAGGTAATTGGATTGTAATCACCCGCCAGGCTTCTGTGCCATTGGGGGCGCTGAGCCTTTCAGTGAGCAATCAGCACTGCGTGGTGGGAGGGGGTAGAGATTCAATAGCAAATCCCAGGTGGAGAGCCAAGGGGGAGGACCAGCAGATGGGCAAATTTTCTTTCCATCTCTCCTCCTTGCCCAAATGATGCTGGCTGCCCATTAGCTATTTACCAGCAGATCTGAGGTGGAGCCAAATCTTTTGTGAAAGTCGGATGGAAAGCTAAGATGGATGGGTAAAGGGTGAGGGTCTGGGGAGACCCCTTCCCCACAATTGGGTATTGCAGGATGTGCTGGGGGGGAGGAGGGGAGTGCATCTAGAAGCACAGGTAGAGGTGGCAAAGGCCTGGCGCTCCCTGCTCTCCAAACCTATTGGTGGTGAGAACTGCATTTAGTGTATTTGTTGGAGACTCATCCTCAACTCTCCCAAGGGGCCACTGTCCCAGGCAACCCAAAGGTATCTATGGCCACCGTCAACTGGGCTCCTTGCCAAGCAAAAGGAGCACAATTCATCAGGAGGGAGGTGCCCTTCAAGAAAAGAAAGGGGAGAGGGGCCCTAGAGGTGGAGGGCAGGGCCAAGAAGCAGGAGGCCAGCCTCACTCAGGCTGATGCAGTGCCCAGACGAGCCAGCCAATCAGCCCGCTTGAGTTCCAAGGCCTGCAGGAAACCTTGGACTCGCTCTTCCCGTCTGGCTGAGAGTTTGTGCAAGCGTGTCCTTCGGAGCTGGGCGTCCCCACTGGCCGGGAGCCCCTCTTGCAGCAGCTGCTCTGTCACTGCAGCCTGGTCCCTCTCCAGCTGCTGCCTCTTCCGCTCCTCAGCATACATGTCTCGGGCCTTCTGCTAAAGAGAAGTGGGAGTTGGGGGAGATCACTGGGAAGATTATTTTTAGGTGTGGGTGGGGCACAGGGCAGGCCAAGTTAAGTACAACAGTGGGGAAGTTGTACAAGATTGGGAAGGTTAGGCAATAGGTGTGTGATGGTGGTGACCATGTTGTGCAGGGAGGGGAGTGGAAGTTCCGGGTCCATCTTGGTTTTGGGTGGAAGCATCTGTATTTCTTGAAATTCTCAGGTTTGCACTTAGGGAACCAGAAAATATGGATGGATCTGATTTCTGGTTTCCCCAGCTAGCTTTGTGGCTTTGATTAAATACTCTCCTAACCTCATTTCTTCATCAGTAAAGAGGGGGTTGTGCCTATCTTGAAGAGTGATTTTAAGGATTAGAGCTTATATATGCAAAACCCTTTCTAGCATATTAGCAGGCTTTCAAACAGCAATTTTACTGTTATTACTATCTGTTCTCTGTTGTAAGGAAGGTTCTATTTCCTGCTTGGGGCATATCCATGGCGTCATTTCCCTTTGGTTTCCCAGGTCACCATAAGGGTGTCATTCTCCTAATTCTTTTTTTTTTAATATATTTTATTGATTTTGTACAGAGAAAGGGAGAGAGATAGAGTCAGAAACATCGATGAGAGAGTCATCGATCAGCTGCCTCTTGCACACCCCCTACTGGGGATATGCCCGCAACCAAGGTACATGCCCTTGACCGGAATCGAACCCAGGACCTTTCAGTCCCCAAACCGACGCTCTATCCATTGAGCCAAACCGGTTTTGGCTCATTCTCCTAATTCTTCTTTTTTTTTTTTTGTCCCGGACTTGCCGCAGGCGAGCCTTTCTTGGTGCCTGAAGTTCTCTCCCAGGGCTCCCTTTGAGCTCATTCTCCTAATTCTTTAAGCTATTTTTACAGAGTTGGGTTCCAGACTTGCCTACTGTATAGGGACCAGCTGATTCTTCCAGCAAATGACCTTTCTGTTCAGCATTCTTAAGCCACTTATTGATTTCTGCCCAGTAGAGTCAGTATTAATGTCCATAGTCCACAATCTACTTTTCCTGTTAGAAAATAAGCTCCTGGAACTTGCTCTGACATCAGGTAGGTGATCATACTCACAGCAGCACTTCTTATACCCTGTGTGTCTCCAAATAAATCATAAACTCTTAGAGGCAGACACTGTGGCCTTTCCTCTGGCACTTGGGGCATCCTGTATGTGTGAAATACTCAACTGACTGATCATGTGGTCCCAGGAGGGCACGGAGGATGGCTGTGGGGAGGGGGAAATCCTTTGGAGCAGAACTAAGACCCTCTGCTCCTCACTGATGCACTCTGCTCCTGCCACTTTAACAGGCTGTGCCAAAGCCAAGTGAGAAACTGCTTTGCTGCCAACTTGGTATCCTATACTCTGGAAACCCTTACCACATAACTCCATTGTATATTACTGTATTTTTGTACATGTCTCTGTGCTACTCAGCCTGTAAACATCTGGACTGCTGAATTCATCCTTTAAGGAATATAGTTAAACCTCAGTTCTCCAACGTCTCCCACCTCGAATAATTTGTTCATGAAAGAAATGTCTTGGTTGTTGAACAAAACTAGGATTTCAATCTGACAGCCCTTTCATGCTAACACCTGTATGATCACTCAGTTTTCTTATGCAACAAACAAAGGAGAGAATTCAAGAGTATGAGTCAGTTTTCCACTAAACCTCCTGTTGCTAACGTCTTAGGAAATTGTGCTGTCAATATTTTCATATCTTTTTGCTTTTTGTTATTATTATTAAATACATACAGTGAATCACCA